ATGTTTGACTCATTACCAAATACATATTTTCTGTTTATTTGCGTGGAAGGAACAAACATATTTTTAATTGACTAAAATTTCTGTTTATTGTAAAGTTATTTTATACACAAAAATAGTTGCATTAATTGGTATAGTTAAACTAAGTAAAAAAAACTATATTTTTAGAAAATTAACTATTCTAGGTAAAATTTTAAAATGCTTTAAAGTCAGTCAATGATTTGGAAAGATTTTATTATGTGTCACAATGAATTGTGGCTTATTTGTTACTCAGCACTACCTACCTCTAAACTCAAATGCTAATGTTACTGTGTAGCTCACGTCTTATTTCCTGACTGGAATGAGACAGGAGTTAAATATGTTGTGATTCTCATGTCATGAATTAAACACTTCTATTCTTGTTTGTCTTTGTCTTTGTGAACAGCCCTGCCTCTGCCCAGCTCCAGTGTAGACGCTGTCGTCTGTGACCTGCCGTTTGGCAGAAAGTTTGGTACCAAAACAAACATGGCTGCCAAGCTGCCGCTCATCCTTAGCGAGATGGAGAGGTTTGTTTCTCTTTGTGTTAGTTTCAAATTTATTTAGGAAAGTGTTATTTAATTTTATGTTTGTTGAGATGATTTGCCCAGAATTTTTAAGCAGAGACTTATGCTACACTCCTGTAAAGATATAAAATGATTACAATTTGTCAAAATGTGTTTAAACTGCAACTAATTTTAGATTTTTTTTGTTTGTTTATCTAGAGTCCTTCGACTTGGTGGCATCCTGGTTGTTCTCCTGAGTCCTCAGTTGTCTTCTGTCATGAAAAAACTCCTAATTCAAAAACATTTTGAGTCAAAATCTAACGAGGAAGTAAAGCCTCAAGCTGGAATAGAAAACTGCCTTGTTCCATCCTTTGAGCAGCAGCCTTCTCAGCATCACTCAGATGTCCCATCCTCACCTGTCCAGGGCAAAGAGGTTCAGTTGTCTTCTCTGAAGCACCAAACAACTCTCAGAGTCAGCTTAGGAGCAATAGATGGGCTCATTCATAAATACTTGAAAACACTAATTTGATCAGTATTGATAAAAGTGTCTGAGTTTTCTTTTCTTTGTAACATATAGTGCGGTAAAGGTTGACTGTGCTAAAAATGTGATATTTTTTAGTGTTTATTCCATTTTAAGGGTATCAAATTAAAAATTGATAAATTTTACAGTTGTACAATTTTTGAAACTATATATAAAACAATATTTCAGTTTATCTTGTGGTTATAATAAAAAATATCAAAATACTGAATTTATAAACTGCTGGAAAACTAGAGAACTTGCATTATCTGCAAGATAAAGCACAATGAATGCTGAACGATTTTTACAAGAAAAAAAAATTTTTAGAATTGGCAAAAAAGCTGGAAAGTTTTTGGTGGCGTGACTTTTTTACTGGCTGTTCTAGACTTCTTGCACTGCCGCCCATTATTTTGCCATCTGCCACTGTTTAGCCCTGCTTAGCCCAGTTTTACACGGAGGGGCCAGACCAGCCATCTTACAGCTTAGGGTTTTTCATTCATTTCTTTGCTCCCATCCAAACTGTTTTGGCAGCCAGAATTTTACTCTGTCATTGTTAGATGCTAATGTCAGGTAAAAATGGATTACACAGATTTTTAGATATATTATGTATGTGTCATTTCAAAATACCCAGAGTTATTAAATGTGTTTTTATTTAGTTAAATTACTTCATCTTGAAGCAAAGTCGTTTGTTCATACATTAAAATTCAGAGGCCTCTGCCTTTTGACGAACACCACAGAGAAGGGAACAGCATGGAATCCACTGCGCATGCGCGGGTGCGCAGTGGAAGCCATGTTGGAGCTACGTTGGATTCGGGCTGGGATTTTTGACGCCGTATGCTTTTCTTAAAAATATCAGTTTTCAAACTTCGTCGGGGTTCGTCAACCGTACGCGATTGGAAACAATGAATTCCAGTGTCGACCTGTCCCGGCGGAATCCGCAGGAGGATTTCGAGCTGATCCAGAGGATAGGAAGCGGCACGTACGGAGATGTGTACAAGGTAAAAAACTGCAGGGAGGGAAGCTTAAGCGGTGAAGACATCATGTATAGGTTTCCTATCTGATTGTTTACCATTTGAGCTGTAGAAATCAACAGTTTGCAGACATGAATGAGTCGTTTCTAATGTAAGGTTATGAGCATGTATTTGTTGAGACGTTTACAGGCGCTGTATGGTTTTCTACCATTCATGTCTAGAATTCCATTGTCGGACACATTACCAAAACTGTATTGTGTTGATGTTTCTTTGCTTTTGTTGCCAGACTACTGTAAGACAGTACATACATTGACGTAATGCTAAAGCTTGTTAGCAGTAAATAAAAAAAAAAGCTTGGCTTCTGACACACCATAAATGATCACAGCTAACTGCGGTTGTTTACTGCTTGTTGGGACGTCTGGGAGCTCTGTCCGACAACGGATACAGCTACCCAGCTAGCATAAAGAAGCTAACCTGGCGCTTGCTTGGTTTCGCCTGAACGGGTGTCAAAAAAAGATGAGCAAGCAGCGATTTGGTATGGTACTGGAACATAAAAAGGAGCAGAGACACAAACTGTTATTTTCCAGGAAGTACAAATAGTATGTTTACAGACTAAATATGTTACAAACGACATGTCTAGGTTAGCCCTGACGAGGACTGACAGCTGTCTGGCTGGAGGAACACTTTTTTACCGAAGCTGGAGTCGGGCTCAGTGAGCTACCAGAGGAGTCATTTAATTTATTTTAACAATATGAACTAGTAAGCAGCTTGTGTGCTAATTTATGACCGGGGTATTCGACGTGAAGCGCCAGAACTGTTCAGTTTTTGGTGTTTCACGCTTTGAAGGCCCTGCTGCGTTGGTAGCAATCTGGGATCCAAACTGGAAAGGCAGTTCCGGAGCAGCAGCCCAACAACAGTCTGCAACACAGACAGCCACATCACCGTGTTTACTGTCATATTCAACAAACTGCAACTATGGTTTTCTTTTTGGCAAAGTTCACATTTTCACAGGAAATCATAAAATCATGCTACAGGTCATACAAACAAATGAGCTTATGCAGAATGCATGGTGCTACTATAAATCTATAGCTAGGTTAATAAAACATTAATTTTGTGTTTACAAAAAAAAAAGACTGGCATTAAGAATTGCATTTTTCTCAAACTCAGTCAAATTATGTAAGAGAAAATTGCGCGCACACCTTTCAGTTTGCTAACTGTTTGTTTTGGATTGTCTCTGTTGTGAAATTATATTTGACAGCCAGGGCAAGACAAGGTATTTAGCAAACTTGAGATTCCTCAGTCTCAGATATGAACAGGTTATGTTTGGTCAGCCACCAAGATCTCCATCATTTATCTTCGACTGCTCATCCGTGGTCCAGGAGAGAAACCCAGAAATCCCTCTTCCCTAGACACACTCCAGTTCCTCCCGGGGGATCCCAAGGCATTATCAGGTCAGAGAAGACATATAATCCCTAGGGCATATACTGGGTCTTCACCAGTTGATTCCCCAAAGAGTGGCATCCAGGAACCACCTCAACTGACTGTTCGATGCAGAGGAACAGCGACTGCTCTAATCCCCATCTTGTAATAAATAATAATACTAAAACATTTTATTTGAAGGCGCCTTTCATGGCACTCAAGGACACAGTACAATGTAAATACAATGCAATAAAACAAAAGAATAAAGCATAGAATAAAATAACAAAAAAAAACATCATAGTTTACATAATAAATAACAAATAAAAACAATATATAAAACAAAACATCCTACAAAAAAGTAGGGTTAATGGGAGATGGTGATTAAACTGATTAAGCCTGTTAAAAGAAAATAATTTTAATCTGTGATTTAAAAATGTAGACGGTAGGAGAGTTTTTGATGTCCGGTGGGAGAGAGTTCCAGAGGTGGGGTGCTGAGTAACTGAAAGCTCTTGAACCCATAGTGGTCAGATGAGCTGGCGGCTGAGTGAGTTGGATGGAGGAGGAAGACGTGAGAGTGTAGGAAGGTGTGTTAATGTGGAGAAGTTCTGTGAGATACTGAGGGGCAAGATTAATGAGGGCTTTGAAGGTGAGGAGCAAGATTTTATAGGAAATACGAAATTTGATAGGGAGCCAGTGAAGATGTTTTAGGACAGGTGGTGGAAGGGGTTCTGGAGATGATACGAACAGCTGAGTTTTGGACCAGTTGTAGTTTATGTAGATATTATATCTTGGATGATGGAGAACTTCAAGCCTGGCCAGAAGTCTAATTTCAACTGCTTGTACCCAGGATTATGTTAATTTTGTCATAATCTGTACATCATGACCATAGGTGAGGGTTGGAACACAGACATACCAGATGAAGACCTACAACTAAAATGGCATAGTTTCTGTCTTTTTAACCACGTGGCTGGTATCGATTCCAGTCATACACATAAAACATGATTTATTGAATTTACTTAACCAAGTTAGGTCAACTGGTTCCACTCAACTGAGTTGGGTAAATGTAACAAGATTTACACAATATATTAGGGCTGCCACAAACGATTATTTTAATAAGCGATTAATCACCGATTATTTATTCTATTAGTCGACCAATCGGATCATACGTTAATCGAATATAAAACATACAGCTTATCACATCAGAATGCAGCTGCTATTGTATAACTATGGTTAGATTTTAGCTATATGCTAACTAAAAATAATTGTTGTGGAAGGCAAGTTCTGCTCTGCAGATATTGCACAGGTTTCTCTTTCATTATCTTAAAATGATCCCACACTTTTGAGCTCCATTGCTGAGTAGCCATGATACCAGAGCCTGTCTGTATAATGTCTTGTGACGTCCACGGCCTACCCCAGTTACCACTACTGTGCATGTGTGTCAAGGACAGAAAGGCAGATGTGGCAGTGGAAGGTGTCAAAGCAGTTTGGAGAGAAAAACAAAGAACAACAAAAAAAAGAAAATGATTGATCGATTATTAAATTAGTCATCGATTATTTTAATAATCGATTAGTCGTCGATTAATCGTGGCAGCCCTACAATATATACAAGGAAAATCCCTTTGCTTAGTAAGTTAGTAACTTACTGGACTAGTACTTTACTACATCTTGATTGAGTGGAACCACTTGGCCTAACTTGGTTAGGTAAATTCAGCAAATATTTTATATTTTTTTTATTTTTTGGAGTGTATGATCAGTATATCATCCTTTGGAGTGGGTTTTTCATATTGTATCCTCCTGTGCTGCAGCTAATCTTGTTTGTTTCTAATTAAAGTTCTCTATCTTGCATTGTTTGAGACAGATAGCTCTGACAGAATATCTTCAGCAGGCAGCCAGCTGTGAGCTAAGCTGCCTTCCAAACCTGTCACAAACAGTGCAGAACTGATTAATGTGTACTTAGGTTTTTTTTTTAATAAACCATGAAAATAATTTACCTGGTTACCAACTTTTTTCTCTCTCATTGCTGCTAATGGCAGATATGTGATAAGGTTGGTATGTCGTTTAGACGTATCACATGGGGCATGCCTTAGTTCATGTTAATGGCAGGTGCTTGCCGAAGGTCAGTGCTCAAATGTGTAACTGTTGGATTAAAGGATGTGCTTCTGAGCACCAGGGTGTTTGGTAAGCCTCGTGGATGCCTATATTTGGTTCTACCAGTGGGAGAAAAAGTGTGGCTTGGACAGGAATGTTTGAGCAGGAAACAAAACATGAACTCTTGTTGGCTTGTTTTCTCTTCTGTTTGTAGCCCTGCCTCTCTGTAATCGTAATTAAAGAGTGGGGGGACAAGCTCTTTGACCACCATATCATAGATTTGATCCTTCAAAGAATTAGCCCCAGGAGAACTATGAAGTGTCTACTTCTTTTTTTTTTTTTTCTTTTAATCTTGTCAGGCTGCTAGAAATGCATTCATAAACAAGTAAAGATATGAAAAGTAATATCCCTATTAGCAGTTGAGGTTGGGCAATTTGTCAGTGTTTCACATCGTGCCATTTAGGCTTCCTCATTTTTGAGGCTTTTCCAAATCTTTGAAAAAGGAGCGTTTTTAAAGTCAACCCATCCTTTTCAGAATATGTTAGACATAGTCGAACTGCATGCAGCGTGCTTTTGTTTACCAACATGATTGGAGTGCAGTGTAATAAATCAAAGATAAGAGAATATCTGACTTCAATGACAATGGCGTTGTCATTCTACTATAATGCAGATAAATGTAATAATTTGTCACTTGGGTGGAACAGAGAAGCTGTGCTCTCATTTTGCTTTCCCACATCATTAAACTGCCTGTAAACAGCTTCAGTAAAGGCAAGTATCAGCTTGATGAATTGCTCTGAAATCACAGTAACCTGCTCCAGAGGTATTGCCATTATATCTGTCTTTACTTGTTGTGCTGTAGAAGGCAGATATCAACCATTTGCCACTGTACAGGAGGATTTGTGTTAATTTTTTTTTTTTTTTTTTTTTTTTTTGCGGTAACTGTCGTGGCTCAATAGAGAATCTGAGACAAGGCTTCATAATCAGTCAATGATAAGCCACTCTTAGTCTGGAAACACATCTCTTTTTTTAAACTTCATGGAAGGGTTGAGGACTGCTACCCCTAATGATATTTCGCTGGTTTTTTTTAAAAGTCTTATGACACAATTTATTATCATATAAGCAAGAATGGTCATTTATAGCATGTAATAGCTATATTATTTGCATATTCTTTGCACATTAAAATGTGACATATTCTAGACTGAACAAGAGTAATTGTGAGCACAGTTGGCCTTTCTTTTGCTGGTCCACCACGACCTGCCATAAAAGTAACAACTGGGAAAGACCTTATCAGATGAAGTCATCTTGGCTTTTTCTGTAAGTATAAAACACTGATATCTTTAAGAGTTATAAATGTGGTGAAGTTTACGATTTCCCATAGACAGCACTTGTTGTAATGTGCATGTGGGTGGCATAGGCTGGCAGTTGTGGAATTTAGGAATCCTTGTTTCGTGTGTGTGTGTGTGTGTGTGTGTGTGTGTGTGTGTGTGTGTGTGTGTGTGTGTGNGTGTGTGTGTGTGTGTGTGTGTGTGTGTGTGTGTGTGTGTGTGTGTGTGTGTGTTACACTCCCATTGTTTCACACTAGTCCAACTGAGGAAGGCCGTTAAGCGTCGAGCTGCGGTATGACACACACACAAAATCAGATGATTGCATGATTACATGCACAGCTGCACACACACAGATGGCTGCAGAGTCGCAGCTGAAGCTGTTGGACCGCAACCAAATTGTTTTTGTCACAGTTCCTTTTGTTTGTTTGAGCTCGGGGATGGACACATCATCTGATGTAAATAAAAGTAAGGTATCTAATGATCTGTTTGGATTAATACCATGCGCAGGAATTCAGTTCCCAGTTTGACAACTGTGTGTTTGTTCTAGAGGTAAAATTCATGTCATGTAGTAGCATAAGTTAGTCTCCGTGTCATTGTATTGATGATCTATTTATATCTTTTAGTGTTGCAGTTTGTTACCAATAACAACATGTGGTAGGAGACAAAACCAGATTTAATGAATAGTATGAGGGCTTTGTGTTTAGGCAGCAAGTATAATCTAATTCATTTTAAATTTCTACCTGCTGCTTAGGAAAAAGTAGGTCTGGGTGGTAGAACAAAAACGATGTATATTGGGATAGACAAGTGATCAATATCAATAGAAAATACATCTGATAGAAAGTTAGTAATTTCACTGAACTCAGATCCAGAATTGCATGACAATCTGGGGGATGTCGGCAAAGAAAAGACTTTATCCACTTGACCTCTCACAGTCAGCTAATCAAGGCTGGTGATATCGACTAATTCACTCACTCTTTGGTAAGTTAGCAACAACCTGTTGAGTAACATGCGCAGTAGCTCTTTCATGTATTGCCACAGTGCTTCATGTTGGGTGAAAGGAGAAAATGATGGCAGCTCTAGGAAAAAGATGGAGAATTAGGGGAAATCTTTAGTTGTCATTAATTCATAAGTGGCCAAAATCAACATGTTTGTCCAAAAATTCTCAGGCAAATGCTATACAGTACCGTACGTAAGCCAGATCTTAGCCTGCTACTTGGAATACACTTAAAACATGTTGAAACAGTTCAGCATGCAATCCAGTATTACTCCTTTATTAATCACCGCCTGAGCAATGAAATGACTGGAAAGATTAGCTCTCGTTCTGTCCCCTTCACAGTGGAAGCTGGCTGGGATAATGCCACTCTTTTTCACAGTTCAACCTAAACGAAGCTGCAATATGTACAGTTTGACAGGTGATAAAGTCAGTGAATCATTCCCTTCAAACAGGAACACCTGCCACTCTTGTCACAAGGTCTGATCAGTTGTTGTTTTTTTCTTCTGTTTTTGAACCAAGACAGCACTGTTTTCCAATTCTGAGGTTTATTTAAACCCTGTCAATCCTTGTTTTAGTGTTGACTGACGAAGCTGCATTCATTTAGTTTAGTTCTTTAAAATTGTATTGCATACTTTAAATGTCTGCATAGGGTTTGGATGGCTTGATGTAGCAGCAGTGTGTGAAATGTGTGCTGTGGGACTTCACAGACCAATGCTAAATACTTAGTACACTGAGCTAGATTTCCTTTTATCCAACATTTAGAACTGAAGGCTTTGAATAATTAAAGGAATTGCTAGACTTCATGTTGAAATGGACCTGAGAGGTTTTGGATTATTCTGTTGCATACTTTCACATTTCACTATTTTTTTACGCTAGTGGGTATTTTGTCAGAAGACGGGTACTAATTTAACACACTTGACTGGATTTAGTTTTTGCCTCACCTGTTCCTCCCCTGAGGCCACGCCATGTGAATGGCGGAGCGATGGAGCCGATAAGATCAGGACTGAGAAAACAACATGCTGACCTGCACCTCTACAGTCTTGCAAAATGAGATGTTATATTCATGCTTGTGTTATGCCTAATTGTCATACAGATTAAATGGTATTTTTTATTGAGAAAATGAGTAATTGTAAACACCTGAGCATATGAGATTATATGATTTATACAGGTTGCTAAAGTCACATTATTTCTCTTTAAGAAAAAAAATACAAACACATTTAAAAAATAGTGAAAGGACAGGTTCGGTGCAACTTTCATCATAAATCATAATATTTTATAGCTATTGGACCATATAGTGTTGAGAGGAAGTTTTAATCCCGAAGGTCAGTGTTGGTTTTGTCGCCCAAATCACTTTTTCTGTTGCGCTGTGTCAGCATTTATTGCTCAGTACGTCAGTCAGGTTGCAGGCTTTTCCAGTGATGTAATTTATTTACATGACTTCGGAACTGTTGGGTTTGGTGTTCCAGCCTGGGAGTTCATTTTAAAGAATGGCTTTGTTAGCATTTTCCCCCCGTTGTTAATTTTTTTCTTAAATAAAACAGTAAAGGTCTTATTTTTGATAGTAGGTTGTTGACCAAGCATTGAATACAATTTTCTGAAATGACAGAGCTAAATAAATTTTATTACTGCAGAGTCATTTGTTTGATAAAATTTGCTTATAACTTGGATGATATATTTACAAAGTCTGCAGCTTTTTTTCACTGCAGGAAAAGGGGATTTCTGCAGTAAGTGGGAGTTTCATGTTTTGTGGGAGGAGTTTGTCCAGAACATGATTGGTCTGTTTGACTTTTGTGGGCGTAATTGATTACGTTGGTTGTAATTACTATTTTGGGTGGGGTTTGAAGAAGCCCGCAGCAGCTTGGGGCTAGCTCAGTCGCAACGGCCAGGAAGCACTATATTTTAAAATATAAATTTTAGTCATAACTTGATACAGGTGCTAGCCGAACGAAATCTGAATGCCACACACGTGGAAGGATGTTTAACGATCTGGCTCGGTCAAAATGGCCGCCTGGAAAAAGATTGCCATTTTTAAATAATATTCATAAAATGAGATGGGAGGAAGGTGCAGGAAGTCAATTAATTATGTTTATCTTCTGTTTTAAATTATAAATAGACATTCAAAAAATTATATTTAGGCTACATGTTCACAATAATTTTACTATTGGCACAAAATTCCAAACTCCAATCACAGTTAAGACAAACTCCGCCCACAGAACAAGAAACTGGTATGTACTACTGGTATGTACTGCAGAGACCTCTACATGTATTCTTCAGTGTTTCTGATGCAACTTCTTCAAAGCTTCTAGTTATAGGAAAGAAACACTTTAATTAAAAAAATTGCATCAGCTAAAACTCCATTTCTTAACAGAAGATGAAGTTGGTGTAAAACTTTGACATGAAAGGTTGTGAAAGATATAAATTCAAGAAATGCTTGGTTTTGAACATTTTATTTGTGCGTGAATATTCTTATTTGCCCTATGACATAAGTTTGGAGGGGAAGAGAGGGAGAAAGTAGTCTCTCTGTGTGCTGTTGTGGCTGACAGTGACACTGGCTGATATGAGTAATCTCTGATCTGTCTACAGACTGAAGACACTGTCTGTGCTCCACACTGCTTCCATCACTTCTGCCTTTTCTCTTTGCATCTCTTTGTGTCTCTCCCCATCCCACCACCACTTTGTTTTGGTGTGGCTCTGCCTCTGTCATTCCACTCTTGCCTTTGCTCTTTTTTCCCCAAGTGCTTTTGCTCCAATCTAAAACACAACAAAAAAAAAACAGACTTTTATTTCTATTCTTACTGGTTATTAAATTTGTCGTCTTGTTTTTGTGTGAATGCTGTGGACGTGTGTAGGCAGTATTCTGAGGATTTGATGGTGAAGTTTTAGGTGCTGCTTGTACCATTTTTTTTCTCCTTTAGCTATAGGGGCTGCCCCTCTTCATGTGGGCTAACATCTTTATCAGCACATTATGCTTCACTTAGTCAAACAAAAAAAGTAAATAAAACAGAATGTGTGAAATTGTGTGAAATGTTTGCCTATCTAAATGTGATAAGCTCCTTCCAAAATGACCAAACCTGGATGTGCAATAAATGTTTCTCTGTCTCTGATGCTGGGTAAACAACTCTACAAGACAACAACCAGAACCTTGATGCTTTTTATTCCTCCTTCTCTGGTATAGAGATTTAAAAATTAAAACCAAGACCTGACACTTTCCTCCCAGACTCTTCTTCAAAGTTTTTATATCTTTTTTTTCCAGGAAGTTTTCATTCACATAATTATATTTCTTTCATTCTGTCATTTCTCTCATATTTCTGCTTCAGAGTCACACACCCACATCCATGGTCTAAAAGAAGAAGGCAATTCATGTCTCTGAAAAAGACCATCTTTTATTCATGTGCTTATATATAATTCCTCTTTTTTCCCTGCTGGCACTGCTCCCTAAGTGCAAAAATAGTTCACTATTTTTAGAAAAAAGAAAAAAAAAACACCCTCTGTCATCATGCTCTTCCTAATTTTCACGTTCTGTGTGGATCTTTTACTGATTTTTTTTTTTTTCTCAAAGTAATTCAGCAAGCATCTGAGACGGGATATCAAAGTGTTCCTAACATTGTTGCATTGTTTTCCAGCTTCACATTCTTTTCTGCCAAATGTTTGGTTTTTATTTGTGTTTGTTGTTTGCGTCAGTGAATTATTCAGTTTGTCACTAATTAAGTCTAAAAACAACGAGCACCTGGTGTTTATAGAAAAACGAGAGGAAGTTGCACATTTTATAACGTCATTTGATGTTCTCTAATAAACCCCCCTGACAAGTGTTCCCTGTGTGTTTTCAGACGCACTGATCAGTTCGTCTCTTTGTGTTCTTTCAGGCTCGGAATGTAAACACAGGAGAGCTGGCTGCTATCAAAGTCATCAAACTGGAACCGGGTGAGTTACCTCTTCTTACTATTTATTTCCTTTTTTGTCCCTAAATTGTACAATCCGGGTCTTTATCAACCCCTTGTTTTCTTTTGTTGTCCTTATTTTTCATACTTTCCCCGCTTTTTCTCCATCACCATTTTACTTTTGTTTTACTACCTCTGGTCCTCCAACCCACTACTTTCTTCCTTTTCTCTCCCTCTTACATGTTTTTCATTGTTTTTATTTGGACAAAGGCAAATAAAGAAAAGCTTTCTAAGTTACAGGGTAACTGGAGAAACATATTTGCTGAATACTTTTAATTAAACTGCGGTTGAAGTCCTCTGTTTAGGATTTTTGTTTCTGTAATTATGGCAGTTTTTTCTTTTCATTGTTCTGTCGTAATAAGATGTTTAAGGCAAATAAACGGTTGCTTTAATGAAGTGTGTTTATACGTGTTACGACGGTAGGTGAGGACTTTGCTGTCGTCCAGCAGGAGATCTTGATGATGAAGGACTGTAAGCACTCGAACATTGTTGCCTATTTTGGCAGTTATCTCCGGTAAGTGTGTGAATGGTGTGTGCCAGATGTGCAATATGTGGTTGCAGCTGTTATTAAAATGAATGTTGTTAATATCCAAGCTTATTTTATTGCATGAAACAAAGAGCTGATTGCTACAGAAGTGTGAAGTGAAGTCATATATTTTAGAGCTTTTGACGATGTGTTAAGGTGCACTCACAATTTGTTTTTGTTTGTTTAGGAGAGATAAGTTATGGATCAGCATGGAGTACTGTGGAGGAGGTTCTCTGCAGGATATTTATCATGGTAAGGGCAATGTGTTACCAGCAAAAACACACTTTATTGGGTTTTTTGTTTTACTTATTTATTCTTTTGTTTCCTGCTTCTTTCCAACAGTAACTGGGCCGTTGTCAGAGTCTCAGATAGCCTACATGTCACGGGAGACCCTGCAGGTACTTTATGCATTAAACACAGTATTTACAAACTCTGTTTTTGGTGAAGAAGTGGGGTTTTTCTAAGATGCTTTCATTAATTATTTCTGTTTACTATGGTTCCACTTTTTTTTTAAATACGTTGCTTTTTATTCTTTAACAGGTTGAGACAAAATGAGAAATGATATGATAATAATAATAAAAATCAGAGAAACAAAGGTTTAATGTTAATAAATGAAACATACTATAAAATAGCTTTTCTTAAATTTCAGAAGAGTTTGTATAAACTGTTTCTAGCCTCCAAACAGTCGGCGTAAAGCTCCTCTATTCCTCAAACCCAGAAGGTGTGGATACAGCTCCCTTCCTGTGGAGCTATACAACTTCATCTCACAGCTTTTTCTGAGACATTTAAGAAAACAACACTGGTTGTAGATGGAGGTTAATGGGACAACTTCAATTTGTAAATAAATGTTAATAAAGAAAACAAATGGTGCATCTAGAAATTTCTACATCTCTAAAATTATATTTCCTTGTGTGTTGTGCATAATTGACATGATCCATTTTTCTTCAATATGTTTTTTAACACATATCTCGTTTTGCAATTTTTTATCATTTCAACAATTAATATATCAAAACTTCCAGCTCCTTCAGGACATTCTGGCCATGATTTTGGTGTTTCAGCCATATACACTTTTTGAGATATTTATCCTTTTCGGATATTTTTGTTCTTATTGAAAATGAATAAAGCTTTCTTCAACACCCACATTCCTTCAAAATAGTTAAACCTTTCCTACACTTTTCGCTTGTTGTCTGATTGCTCTTTTTAAACTTCTTTGTGCTTATTTTAGATTCCTTCTGCTTCTTTTATTTTTTTTTCTGCATTCTTTGCTATCTTTCTGCTCTTTTCAGCTATTTTGCTAATACATTTTTTGTGCTTTTGTCAGCTTCTTTCTGCTAAATTAAGCTTTTTTATGCTTCTTTCAGCTGTTTTCTGCAAGTTAAGCTGCTTTTTAGTTATTTTCAGCTAATTTTTGCTGTTTTAGCTGAAGTCAATTCTTTATGATAATTTCAGCTGCTTGATTCAGCGTACCTGGGCTCTTTTTGTTTCTTTGTGCTAGATTAAGGTTTTCATCTACTTTTAACTACTTTTCCTCTAATTTCAGCTTTTTTGAATATTTTCAAATTTGCTAAATTTTTGTACATATTTTTTCTGCAGAAATCTTTCAACAAGTATTCACACTTGATTCATATTTTCTAGTTTGAACGTTTTATATTAATTTTTATGCTTATGATGTTTTTTGTTTCACACAACAAAATTTAGTTGTTGCGTGATATCGTGATGCAAGGAAGTGACTACTGTTTATTACAGTAATCATATTATAGGATCATAAATTGGTTCTAGAGCTTTAGGCTTGGGTAATATGCAACCTCTGTTTTGCATTAATGTTTCAAGTTTTTTTTTAATGTTTTCATTAAATCAGGCTGTGTTCAATTAACAACAAGACACAAAAGTGTACAGGATACAAGGTGACAAAATGCAGAAATAAGAGACAAAATATCAGTAACATCAGCTGCTGTATATTTCTGTTCACAGGGTTTGTATTACCTACACAGCAAAGGCAAAATGCACAGAGACATCAAGGTGAGCTTTGACAAATGTGTATTAAATAGAAACAGAAACTGTGTAATATTTTATGTTGCCTTTTATAATATTTATGGATGTGGAAAAAAAAAAAATATATATAT